TGTTTACCATATCAGGAAGAATAATGACAGGCCCCCTGAAGTTGTCATTGCGGTCATACGATTCTAATCTGAAAGAAAAAAAACAACATTTAAAGGAGCTAAAACGCTATTCTATGGCATCTATAAATGGAAACAAATGGGTCGCAACACATATGATAATGTAATATGAATGTATGTAAACTGATTTACATTCAATCATTTCTGTTTTTATTGTAATTTCTAATCAGTTATTTTTGGCGAAATATGCAAAGAGTCTGAATTGAATGGCAGTCTTTGGAATCTGGTTATTCCAGTCTACACCGGTAGTATTCTCCTACATGAGATATGTTTAGCCTCGTTCATCGAGTTGCTTCATCCAAATGGCGCTCAAAAGCAGCCTAGGGTACGCGATTCGTGTGCTAATTTTAAAATTTTCATTTTGTCTAAAATATTGGATAAGAAGTCCAACTTTTCACGGTAAGATAACAACCTCAATGTTAATTTAAATTGAACAAAAAGTCATGTTTGCAATGTAGAAGACTTGGCTCCTTTAATGGACTTAAAAAGTTGACCAGGCCTACATGCCAAATGTCAATATTTTTTTCACACAGCTTTTAGTGAATTTAAAATTACGGCTATTTTAGGGTCTTCATATCGAAATGTGTTAGTTTTAAAATAGCAACAAGGCTTACATTAACAACATAGCCTATTGTTATTTCCACACATTATATTATATACCAAACTATAAAATTCAAAGTTATCGGCAAAATCTTACATAGGCCACGATAACGAAAGTGGTTAACATAATAATAATAATAGACATATGAATAAGCTTATAAAATTATTACAACCAGCAAGGCCTAGACTATAGTAGATTAAATACGCCTACCGGTACCCTATTATTGTTTCCTCCATTGATTCCACGCATGATTAATATTCATAAATAATTCATTTAAACTTCCTAGAATTACTTATTCTAATAACATAAAGCAGGTATTGTTCGCAAGCTCGTTTGGCAGGTCAAAGGTTTAGCAGGTCATATCCGGGAATTCCCATGCCGGTTTGTTTTGATTTGGCATAGCGAGGCCTAGGCTATACCCAGCTAAACCTCCAGCAGTCCAGCCAGGTTGAAAATATGACCACGTTTGTGTTCAGAACATTTCAAAAGCCGAGTCGGTAGTCGTCTGCCATGTTGATAGGTATCCCCCCTAATACACGCGCGCCACCTAGCGTGGAATGTCGACGGCGGACCCCATTGTCAAGTTGGTATTATAATTGTGAATTTAGAAGGTAAATAAGGGCTGGACTAACTCTATATACTTTTTGCCGTGAAATTTTATTGTTTCATTCTGTTTCCTGGTAGCTTAATCAACCATATGTATAAAATTTGATTATGATATGCAACATGGCAGCCATGCGAATAAATCAATAAATTAAACATGTTCAGAACTTGAATAAATTTTATTTTCTTATTCTGTTTCCCGATGTGTTAATCCACCATATGGATAAAATTTGATTATGATATGCAACAAATAATCAATAAATAAAACATATCTATTGCTTTAATAAATTCCTAGAAGTAGAAGTAAATAAGATTAAAATATATTTTCATACCCGGTTACAGGCGCAAGTCCACACATATTTATGTCATGCTATTTATCCGCATGTGGGAAATAAAAACAGCATTTTTTGCGTATTATTTTCATCGTACTGGAAATTCGCGTGTATGAAAACTAGGCAGGTAACGGAAAATTGTATGATTCGTCCGATCTTATATTTTTGTCTCAACCGAAGGGTTAGATATTATTTATTGTCCCCCGACTTTCGAAGAAAGCAGGGGACTATTAAAATGGGCTCGCCCGTCTGTCTGTCGTCACTTTTTTGGGGACACAATAATTCTCCTTCTAATTGAGCTAGAATGTTCAAACTTGGTGTAGGGGTTTACTAGGCCATGGCCTCGATGGAGTTCGAAGATGAGCATTTTCTGCTTGGGACACGATAACTTAGTTCTAATTAAGTGAGAGTGATGAAACTTGGTGTATAGTTCAATTACATCAATACCGTGACTAAGTTCGATAATGAGCATTTTTTGCTTAGGTTAAGCAGAGCGATAAGCAATTTGATTGGCCGAGACTTTGGCACACAATAACTATCTTCTAATTGAGGTAGAATGTTCAAACTAGGTGTAGGTGTTTATTGGATCAATGCCGTGATGGTGTTCGAAGATGAGCTTTTTCTGCAAAGGGTAAGCAGTTTGATTGGTTGATGTTTTAGGACACGATAACTTTAGTTCTAATTAAGTGAGAGTGATGAAATTTTGTGTATAGTTTTATTACATACATACCTTGACTAAGTTCGATAATGAGCATTTTCTGCTGGGGTAAGCAGAGCCATAACTCTCATTCTAATTGAGCTAGAATGTTCACACTTAGCGTAGGTGTTTATTAGGTGAATGCGTTGATGGAGTATGAAGATGAGAATTTTCTGCTTAGGGTAAGCAGAGATAAGCAATTTGATTGATTGGTGTTTGGGACACGATTACTTTAGTTCTAATTTAGTGAGAGTGAGGACACTTGGTGTATAGTTTTATCACATAAATACCTTGACTAAGTTCGATAATGAGCACTTTCTACTCAGGGTAAGCAGAGCAATAAGCAATTTGATTGGCCGAGACTTTGGAACACAGTAACTCGCCTTCTAATTGAGGTAGGCGTTCATTAGGTGAATGCCTTGATCTAGTTCGATGATAAACATTGTCTCCTTACTGTAAACAAAGATAAGCAATCTGATTGGTTGATGATATAAGTGAGAGTGATGAAACTCTGAGTATAGATTCATTATATCATTACCTTGTCTAAGTTCGATGATGAGAATGTTCTGCTTAGGCTAAGGTGAGACAAGCAATTTGATTGGTCAAGACTTTGAAACAGAACAACTCTGCTTTTAATTGAGGTAGAATGTTTTAACATGATGTAGATGCTTATTAGGTGAATGTCTTGATTAAGTTCAATGATTAACATTTCGAGCTTAAAGCACAATATTGCTGCCAGTCATTATCACATATGTGATAGAACTGGTTAAACGCGTGCCAAATGTTATTTTATCACAGAGATCATTGCTACGATAGATGCGTAATCAATGTTTCAACAATCGGAAGTGACGAACGCAAAAGGAAAACACGGGTTATCCCTTTATATAACTGACTGAAGTGACGGGTGGTAACAGATACATGGGCGAATTTCTGCTCACTAATAATTCCTTCAAAGTCCAAAAGTTGGTGTGTAAAACATAGAGATGGCAGTAACCCTAGCAGAGATTGGTGAACCATTTTTACAAGGGACTATAGCTGTTTGTAGAGTGATAATAATGTTTCCCTGTAATAATCGGTAAAGATACGTAATAAATCTATATTTCCTGGTAATTGAATATGCTAACCAATCATTAACTAGTCTATAGACTGTTGAGGATATAAATATTTAAACACGTGTTTACTATCGATTTTAGCCGATATCTAAATGTATAAATGTGGGTAGGCAGGGTAGCCAACATTGCCCTCAACAATGCAAAAGCAGAAAATATTGGAGATGGTTGATAACGCTCTAATTCGATGAGATTTCCTACCAGTGTGGCCATGTTCCGTGCCTTCCCAAAGGGTGTCCTCATTTCGTTTAGTTCTGGGTTGTTCAGTATGGTATGCCATCGCTCAAATACGTCAAATCTATTCTAGCATGTACCACTGAACATAATTATGTCAATTTCAGCGATTTCCGGTGCTACTGTCAAGCGGGATGGGGGAGGGAGTGTTGTTTTATTATTGAATTCCTCATAAGTCTGCGTCCTCAGTTCTTGTATAACGGACTATACGGTCATAATGTTACTGTATTACCAATCACGTAATTCTTGGTGATGGCAGGTTGAAGAGAATATTTAAATCTCACATGACGGTGGATGTACATTCATGACTAGTCGTGCTTTTTTGTTGTTTGAATTGCATAATTTATAGCATTAAACTGAATTCTCTTCATGTTAGTGTATAGTACAGTCATTAGCCTGGATATACCCATACTCCCCGCAGTGTTTCGTTTGATTAGAGCTAATCCCACTAAACACTGCTTTAATGGAAGCAAATGTCTGTTCCAAATTATGACTGATCAATAGTCCAATTAACAACCAATAGCTAACTGCGTAACAATGTCATTACGCTTTAAACAAAGCTCCAAATTGGACCAAATATGTTTACATAACGTTACGTCATGACTCGCGATTTTATTATGCCCAATTAACCAGTGCATAGAAGAATATTGCAGGAGAAATGATTGCGTGACAAACGGGGCTATCAACACGGATACAATGTATACAATACTGTTTGGAGACGAACAAGACTTTCACCGTTTTTTTTCAAATTCCTTAAACCACTGTCCAAAAGTTTATTGAAGACCCAGATTAAACGAAGGGCTATCATGTTGCTGTACGTGGGATATATTTGATTGAACGGGAAGAATAGACACTCCCTCAAAAGCTCAAGTATCAGAAGTCAATCCAGCAAGTGGCAGAGAGGGATTTCTTGGGCCACTGCTTCAGGAATATGGGGTATACCATGCATCATGGACAATAACGATCCTTAAGCTACGTTAATCTTGAATAACCAATCACGGATATGAAGAGGAAAACACTAACAACCCAAATTATAGCATTCAACTGAATTTGTTTCCTATTATTGTAGTGTGGCCTGGGTATACCGTGCCTCATGCATTGACAATAACGATCGTTCAGCCACGTTTATCTTCAATAACCAATCACGATGAAGGAGGAAAACACTAACAGCACAAATATAAAATATTACTTCCGGGAATAAAATGAAAATAACATGTCGACAAGAAGTTGATTGCTAAAACCTTTAGATCTAAAATTAACGACCAAATAAAATTTACTGATTTTATTTCCAAACACAGCTGATGCATATTATTTGTTTGGAGAACTCCCTAAAACATAATGTACAAAAGAACACCTGTGAACAGGTATTTGTGTATAAAACAAACGATAAACTCTTGTGTTCAGCAATCTAATTGTTTCACGTACTCTTGTGCTATAGTATAGTATAGTATTATACAATATTATCATCATGCGTGTTATTTTGTGCATTGCAATGGTCTTGACCACTGTTGTGACTATCTCGGGACAAAGGAGTGGGTGGCCTTGGTCACGATATGGAGGGATGCGAAATCCAAGATGCATCAGTTGTTCAGAGGTAAAAGAGGCTCATCTGTGTGAATCCTGCTGCAAAAGTGAGCTTTGTTTATTTTAAATATTTATTTTCTATTTTTAAAGATTTGTTATGTTCTACTACACTGTACAGGTGGACTGGGCCAAAGGTATTTGAAGAGATTAAAATTTCATCCATTATCTTGTCTAGTATACCACGTATATCACACACCATTTTGTTTCGACTCAGTGAAGACCTTTCTTCTCCGATTATTTCACAATTCTCACTACATGTAACACGCTCCATCCGTTTTTGTTGGAGACTAGACTGTATTTAATTTATATAGAACCCCCAATGTCACTAAATGGATCGTTTCCTAGCGGTATTATTTAAGCAATATCAATTTCTGAATACTGACTTCGTTGGACCGAAAGAAGTTGGACGAATGGTTAGCGCGTGTGAGTTGTATCATAAGGTTTGACATTGAATCAACTTACGTGGTTTCGATTCCCCTGTTCTACGTGAGAGAGAGAGAGAGAGAGAGAGAAATGGGGTTTAACGTCCACTCGACACAAACTAGGTCATTTCGGGACTAACATGGTTTAATTTTATTTACATAATTCGCTTGCGCGTAGGGTTCTTTAGCAGTGGGAGGAAACCGGAGAAAACCCACGAGGTTGGACAGGCGACCCTACTCCTTGCCACGTACAACCGGGGATTCGAAACCACGCCAGTCGACTCAATGACAGACTTTATGATACAGCGCGCGCACGCTAACCATTCAGCCATCCAACCCCCCTTCTACGTGACAAGGAGTAGGGTCGCCTGTCCAACCTCGTGGGTTTTCTGCGGGTCCAACGGTTTCCTCCTACTGCTAAAGACACATACGCGGAAGCGCATTATTGAAATAAAATTGAACCATATGTTATTCCCGAAATGACACGGTTTGTGTCGAGTGGACGTTAAACCCCATTTGTCTCTCTTCGGAAGACGTGGCGGTTGGGGAAGCGCTTATTTCTGATTGGTTAATTCAAATTTAGTTTCCATTACTGATGCAGCACTATGCAATGATATGTGTCTCTGGTTTGATGTGGAAAGCCAAACCCAACGTGTGACGCATACTCTCTCTGCCACATATTTTAAGAGCCTTGTGATCGTCTAGTATTGTCACTGGTTGTATTTGTAATTCTTTACTTATGATTAAGACATATTTTTAATGGCACTCTAATATCCCACGTTGTGAATTTATTGTTTTTTTGTTTAGTTTATGGTTACACACAGAATTAACAATCTAACAGTTCATTTCTAATCCTTTAAGATGCATTTAGTTACTGGGTAGAGCAAAAAACTGGAACACATGCTTATGGAAGAACAGTTACTAATGTGTACATGCCTTGACTTTCCAACATGCTTAAATTTATTTAATTCGTGAATCAAGTGTATTAATTTGTGCAAATATTGTAATCGACTTGCAAAACTAATTTCAATATACATGGCATGTGTATAAAACTAGTTTTCTGTTACTAATACGGTTTCCCCACACTAAACTTGTGGAACGTGTGTATCTATTGGGAGGACGTGTGTGGGACTGTAATCATTTAGGAGCCAGTGGTTAAGACTGTGGTGTATGCTTTCCGATATTCATAATCCATCAATAATATTCCACTTAATTATAGTCTAATTGTTTAAGTATCATTTAGTAAACCAGTTAGCCGTTTCTTTTATTTAACCTGTGTAAAATGTGTGTCTCAATCGGTTGAAAGGGTGTATCCCGTGGATTGGGCTGTTTTGTGTGCATTTTAATATTATATTTTATTTTCGTTAAACATACATTATGCAAGAGCTAATCTGCCAATTGCAGGTCTTTCTTTAGGCCTGAAATGTTATCTAAATTATTAATTAGACATTGTTATTTAGAAATAACTTATCCAGACCATAATCAACTCTCGGTTGCATCTCTAGCCTGAGATGTGTATTGGATTAAGTTTCGATTTCCTGTTCGACTTCCATTCATAATTTAATCATTAAATGGATAATCGAGACTGTGTTTTTTATCGTACAGATTTTAGTAATGATGATCGAGGCTAGGCCGAAAATTCAATCGCTAAAATCTCAGTTCATTTGTTACTACCTATTATCAGTCTTTTACTTTCATTTGATATACCCTCGCCTCATGTATGGCTTCTGATTTGTCATTATTGGTTGTCTGTCTAAATTATTGACCCCTATGATTAATTATTAATGTTAAACATACATTATGCAAGAGCTAAATCAGCCTATTGCAAGTCTTTATCTAGGCTTCAGATATTATAGAAATTATTAATTAGACCTTTACATGACAAGCTCAAAATCAACTCTGCAGACCCTCGGATGGCTTTGGTATAGCTTGGATTTAAACAGCCGTCCATGTAAAATTAAATCAAGAAATGGCCGACCAAACTAACGTGTAATGTTAGTTACTGAATATCGGAAACTGGTGATGAAAGGCCTACCAAGCGAGGGTTTTATAGCCATTGAGAATGTTACTTGATAATCGAGAATATGTAAGTGGAGTTATCGTCTGTCAATCAAACGATCGGCAATTCTCGTAGACGGTGCAGATACAGTTGATGCCTATGTCTAGTGCAAACTTCCAACAGTGACAACTCCTTTTATAATAAAGTAATTTGACTGAAATTTTCAATATTTTCTTTTTTTTATCATCTATTTTTGAATTATTATACCAAGAATGGCCAACTCTTTATTAAACTCTTAACTAATGTATCTTTAATTAATGCCAATCATCAGTTGCTTCACTAATCCGTTAGTTACACCTTGCCTTTGATTGATCTTGTTGTTGTCATGCCTTTGACCTTGTGGTTGCCATACATGGTTTCTGGTTTGTTGTTATTACTTGTCTATATATAATTGCCCTACACATTTGACACTGCAATTATGATTTCGGCTATCTATTATTTAATTGCACAAATATTACGTAATTAATTATTATCATTGGTTACTAAGCTTGATGGCGTGAATATTATCCTTAAATGAACAGTAGGAATATTCCTCTCATGAGTGTTCTAGACAATAGAATTTATCCTTCGCCTTAAACCCCATGTTCTGTTATTCTCGCAATATTCATAATCAATTTAATTTGCGTTTCAAATAAACTCATACCATACCTTATATTTTGACAATAGGGAATTATTAGTCAAGGCCATGATATTATTATACATATGTGTTCTTTTGCTGTTGTTTTGTTGTTTATTACAAATTTAACGTCCAATACATAAATAGACTGGTTAAATTTCCGGAAAAAGGATTTCCTTAGAACATGACTTTTCTTATTTACATCTGAATTAGTAATATATAGAAGATAGGTAAAAAAAAACAAATAATAAAAAGTTCTTGTATATCTAAAAGTCACTTTAAAACACAGTTTTAAAATAATAAAAGGTTCTTGTATATCTAAAAATCACTTTAATATCGCTGTCGTGAGAAGAGAGGGTGGGTTGTTGTTCTTAGTGTTTAACGTCCGCTTCCACCGAAGGTGATATCGCGCACAAGTCTTATCTTTCATTTTTATTTATCTCAGCGGACGCGAAGGGCCTTTCCTGTGAGAGGAAACTGAATAGACTGGTTAAATTTCCGGAAAAAGGATTTACTTAGAACATGACTTTTCTTAATGATTTTGGTGTGCTGAATACGAATATCCATGTTCCCAAGCCGAAATTTGAGTTTTTGACCTTCTAATTAGCATAAATACAAAATGGCCGCCAAATGCGGCTAGATTGTTAGATATCTCGTTAACTATCGACTTTTTGGCCTATAAATGTATTACAGACATATAGGAAGTCGACCCCAATAAATCCAAAAATGATGTTATTATCACTATAAACCTCAGAATGCCTCGTTCGGCATTTCTGTCCAAACGAGGCAAAAACGTGTCAAAATTTTTGTCCCGATTTTGCCTCGTTGTAACGAGGTAAAAAAAAAACCTCGTTTCTCTGGAGTTCCAAAACGTGGTTTTTTAAATTGCCCTGTTTTTGGAACGAGGTATTTTGTTCAGAACGAGGCTGGGTAAAATTGCCTCGTTTACTAAACGAGGTATTTTATCCAAGATAATTATTAGCGGTATTTGCTGTCAACAAATAGAGCCATACAAATAATGTTCGGACCATCATGTGACCAATTGCAGATCTACATATTAGATTATTTATTTGGGACATGATATTGTTCATAGTTATGGCTTACTACACTGGAGTTCTATTATGTATAATAAACGCTTCCCGAGCGAAACAAAACATAACAATGTCACGTGACAATATTACATATGGCGGATGCAAGCGTTCTTTGATTACATGCTGTTTGGTTTGATTATTAAATAATACGGCAATCTGTATTTATGGGAAAAGGAGAATGAATTTCCCCAAATCCAAAACTAGATGACTGGAATATTTATTGAATGGAAAGTAAATATTTTATAAACAAAAATATTCGGATTTGCAGTTTTCTAGCTTGGATGGATTTGTGATTTGAATCTCGAACTCAGTGTTTTATACATTTTATTATAAAATTGTAATAAATGTTTTACATGAATGAATAAAAGCTACAATTTAAAACAGTACAATAACATTGTGATTTGACGCTCTACAAATCACTAAGAGTATAACAATTGCTTGTTGAAAAAGCGTTACGAATATGTTTTTTTCCAATGCAGCAAAACCTACTGGACTGTTGTACTTAACATATTATTTTTTAAAAATATATTCAAAAAGAATGCGTCTTTTACAGATTTCAATATAATCACAAATGGTTGATTGTTTTAATGCTAAGATAAGTATTAATGGTTTGTATTTGAAAATCAAATTATATAAGCGAAAAATAGTAAGATACATTATGTATATCTTAAAACACGCCCTTCTCAGTTACTACTTCGGCGAATATCATTTGATAATTTAGATGATCAGAATTAAACACCGTTTCGCTATGTTATTATTTTTTTATGATTTGGTGGGGGTATACTAAATTAGGGGATTGGATTGAAAGATTATAACTACCATATTATGGAGACATAATGTGTGGTGCATTTACGGTCTT